AGATAGCCGAGTCGGTGTACAGTTAGTGACAGGTTAACTGTGCATTGTCAGGTTAACTTGTGTACTGTCTGCAGTGCATGCGTCGGATGTCCTGGTCGAACGGCAATTCTTGACGATCGATTCCTGCGCTGGCAAACTTTTATTGTGGTGGAATTTAAACGGGGCAGAGGTAATTTAAACGGGGCGCAACGATTCAAACAGGGGGGAGTTTTCCCAAACGGGGCGCAACGATTCAAACAGGGGGGAGTTTTCCCAAACGGGGCGCGCGCGCCCCGTTTGCGCAACGTAGGGAGAACCCTGGTTATGTTACGGTCTGCAATTCTAGTCTAAATTATCTCACCCAGTTTTCCTAATAACATCTGCCCGATGTCTTTTATCTCGTTATATTCGTGCAGCTTTTGTATGTGGACCTGCAGATCAGTGTGTCTGTACCCTCTGAAAATAGCAGACGAGAGTAAACGATGTTATCAATGAGAACTTGATTATATCAACTATCAAGAGCTGATAATAATATTTAAAGTAAGTACTTAATCAGTTAGTAGATAGGTATTTAAAGGTAGGTAAGTTAGTAGGTATTTAAAGGAACTATAAGCTCTTGATTATATCCAAATTATCCTTGATAGTATATCTCTTACTTCCAATGATTAAATTATGTCTATGTATATGTTTACATTTTCGAGACTAGACCCTAAAATGTGGCGTTAATTGAGATCTGCATTGGGTTATATAACTGGACCCATAAAGTGAGACACATCTTCAATCTCAAACTGGCAGATCAGCTAAAAGCGCGATAATGACTCGGCTGGAAGCTCCAAGCGATGAACCTGCAAAGTGCAATAGAAACAACTCACTTGGCTTCCAGGCGGTGAATATCACTATTTATTTTGGCGATCTTTTCTCTTAAATCACCAACTGTAACATTTTCTTTATCTTGAGCTGGTCTTGGACTCTACAAATTCACAAAAACTTTGGATGAAATATATCAAGATTGCATTTCTAGCAAACCGAACCGCCTAAGAGTAACATCGATCAATCATGCAAAAAATGCACATACGTACGGTATTGTCAGAAGTGTATCATATCATACACACCATAATTTGCATCAGTTGTTTGTCTTCTGATCATTGATGTTGTTACACGGTACATAGCACAGTACTACAGACTGCAAAGTTGATTCGCTAACTCTACTAGTACAACACATGTTATAGAACCAAGCGCTGCTTTAGCGCTTAGAGTTAGAATGCACTCGTTCACCGAACTACCTTGCCTTTAGCTCCAAGAAACGGTCTTGCTAGCCGCTAGGTTTAGAAGACTGTGTATGTATCGACAATGTATAGTCATGACGTATGTCAATGTATGTCATTGACAATCAGTCGCACAGCCTCGTCTGGCTACTAGTTCTCGTCAAGGAGCTACATATACCAGTTACATGACATGCGTCTAAACAGAGGAATTGCTCTGACCTGTGATTGGAGGATAAAAATAGAATTCGTGACGTTTCGTTTCACCGGTCATAGCCGCGCGTGTATAGTTGCTAATTAATTAGACTAATCATGATTCAATAGACTCAAAATTCACAGAGATTAAGGCTAAGACATGTGTCTATAATTTAGCTAGAATTTATAGAAATGCAACTCAAATCGTTCCCTCTATATTAATATTATCATGTGTCATCAATATGTCATTATTATCTCCTGATATTATGGTAGTTAGTACACGTTCCTACCGGTCATAGCATAATAGCGTATGCGGCGGGAGTGGGCGGGGTCTATTTTTATCCTCCAATCACAGGTCGGTGCAATTCCTTTGTTTAGACGCATGTGTTATATCATAATATTATGACATGTATACCTAGCTCCTTGGTTTTCGTAAGAGTCCGTGTTTACGTTTCGTTAGTTATGTTATGACATGTTCCCTTTTAATGCATTACAATATCACTGTTCTCATTCTCTTGCAAAATGGGTTCTTCATAGTTGACAATAAAGCTGATTTGATTATCGAGAAGGTTGTTTCTTTACACTTTTACAGACTAGTCTACAGTTAACCCAACCAGGCTGTTCGACTAACGTCAATATACACATATTGGTGGGTCCCCTAACCCTAGCAAAGACCGTTTCTTGGAGCTAGTCTACAGCAAACAGTAGGACTATGATTATGAATTTTCAGGACCAGACCAGCAGATCACTCAGACCAGACGTTACCGGCCAGCCTCTAGAAAAGACCGTGTATCATCAAATAACTTACCGATCTTGCTTGCTCACTCATAAGGTAAATAATATGAAGAACCCTACAAGTTTCACCTCACTAAACGTACGAATACGACGAAAAGTGATGAGAATACAATAATTAATCACTATTTCGAAAAGCAACAACTCAAATAAGTTTGTTTTGCCGCTAACTGCTCAGTATTGTAGTGTATCGTTACTATCGTTTAGTATCGCGCTGTATCGTCTTCGGCAGTTTGGACTCGGGCGTTCTAAGCAATTTATCTTCTTATATTATCATAAGAAAAAATGCAAAAATTTATTTACAAAGACTTATCTCTCTGTAAAATATTATTCTAGTCTTTCGACTATTATAATAATTAGTATATTTGTGAAAATAGACAAATAGAAATACATGGACACAGCATAGGACACAGTCATGCATGGACGAATGCTCAACTGTTTAAAATCATGTAAACATGGCAGCGCTCATGAGAAACATCAACTTTTTCAATACAAGTGCAATTTTGAAGACAAGATATTCTGGTAGACTATTGCATACTCCTAGTCCTACGAATTTCACCAGGAACATCGGCACGACGCCTCTAAATTGGCTACGATTAAAGCAAGCGAGTACTGGCCAAAAGATCGGAATATTCGGCGTAGGTTTGCTAAGCGGTTTCGTCATCGCTTCAAATGTCGGAAAACTAAGCCCACAACAGAAGCCGGATGTCGGCGAGAGTACGCTACTGCCGGTGCTGCGAGCGGCGCAGGTCTACGACGAGGGAACGACGGGGCACGACGACCAGCCGAAGTCGCGGCGTCTCAACTTCATCGCCGACGTCGTCGACCAGGCGGTGCCGTCCGTCGTCTACATCGAGATCCGCGGCCGGCACCCGTTCACCGGCCACGACGTGACGTTGTCCAACGGCTCCGGCTTCATCGTGCGCAGCGATGGCGTAGTGCTCACGAACGCGCACGTTGTCGGCAACAACCGCGAGGTCGTCGTCCGGCTGCACGACGGCCGCGAGGTCACCGGGCGCGTCCAGTACCTCGACCCGACCTCCGACCTCGCGACGGTGCGCGTCGACGCCGGCCACGACCTCCCCGCGATGCGGCTCGGCCGCTCGGCCGACGTCCGGCCCGGTGAGTGGGTCGTCGCCGTCGGCAGCCCGCTGACGCTCAGCAACACGATCACGGCGGGCATCGTGAGCACGGCCGCCAGAGGGAGCTCCGAGCTGGGGCTCGGTGACAAGAACATGGAGTACATCCAGACGGACGCAGCGATCACGTTCGGAAACTCCGGCGGCCCGCTCGTGAACCTCGACGGCGAGGCGATCGGCATCAACACGATGAAAGTCGCCGTGGGAATATCGTTCGCGATCCCGATCGACCACGCGAAACAATTCCTCGAAGAAGTCTCCCGGCTCGAGGAGCGCGACCGGAAAACCGGATGGTTCGGGAAGAAGAAACACCCCTCCGGAGAGCGCTCCCCGGCCGAGCATCCTCTGGCGTCGCCACGGCGACGGTACATGGGCATCACGATGCTGACCCTGACGCCGAACATCGTCGGGGAGCTGCGTCTGCGCGACACGCGCTTCCCGGACGTGGAGGCAGGCGTGCTCGTGCACCGCATTGTTGTCGGCTCGCCCGCGCACCGCGGCGGCCTCGAGGTCGGCGACGTCGTCGTGGCGATCGACGGCCACGAGACTCGCCGCGCCAGTGACATCTACGACGTGCTGCAGACCGGCAGGAAGGACCTCGTCATGACCGTCGTCCGGGGCAGCCGCTCGCTGCGCATCACCGTCACGCCGGAGGACGTCGAGTTTTGAGGGCTTTGAGGGCACCGGTCAACTCAACTGACCGACAAACTTGCCCCGTGTGGTTGCAATGCTAACCACAATGCTGGCCGAGTTGGTGCGTGGGTCGAGTTGACTGTAGAGCGAGTTTTGAACGCGTGCACGGGAGATTCGCCGCGGGTCGGTCGTAGCGCGATCTTTCGGTGTACGAACTAACTCTTAACTGCCTTATCATAAGCGTAGGCATGCCCGGATATTCGCAGGAGGTTCACACTTTGTGTGGGCGTACGCCTAGTTGCATGTGTGTATCACATAATATCAGGGGTTTTAATAATGACACATTTGTCATTATTAACCCCTAATAATATCAGGAGTGTCATGATGTAGTCTATATATAGTCTTAGCAGTCTTTCAGATTTGAAAAGTAAAGGAGG